AAAAAAAAAAAAAAAAGGGAAAACTTTAGGAACCAACCCTCTTTTTTGCAATTCTCCCCAAATCAAACCAAGGCGGGAGTGGAGTTTCCCTTTCCCTAAAATTTCCCTACTGCTCATGGCCTCTTCTCTTTTAAATCATCAGACACGAGCAAACCAGCCCTCTGCGGTAAGTTTTTGTTGGACAGTTGAGTATAGAAGATAACAACTGTAATGTTGAAATACCTATGTTCAAGCTACAATTTCCCCATTTTCTGGCAAATAAGAGCCTCACTTCTCAACTGTTTACCCATAAATTGATCAGAATACCAATAATTATCTCAAAGGGCCGCTACATAAATGAAATGGTAATCTAATCACTATAGCGTTCTCAAACACACAAAATGTCTCGTTACCAGCAAAGGGCACCTCAAGTATCTTCCTCCCAACAATTCTACTTAAAACAAAAGGGGGAAGACTCTCCCCTCTCTCTGTGTTTAGGTACAACACACCTCTCTGGAGACAGCAGCAAATTTTTAGGGTCTAGACAGAACTTGCCCACTAAGAGCCTGAAAAGTTGAAAAGTTAACATACTTCAATTTTTGAAAGGCAAGTTTAAAACTGGAAGAAAATGTGCCTCTAAACAGTGATGATAATACCACTCTTCTAATCTTGACACCCAAAATTAAATTCTGGACTGGAATGAAAAGAAAAAGTGGTAGGGAAAACTGACTGGTTGGTGTCTTGACAAAGGGGAAAGGACATGAAAATACCCAAACCTCAACACTTGGGGCTTCTGCAATAGTGAGGACTCTGTAGTTCAAAGTTTATTAGAAAACAAGTCTAAGAAACATGATTTACAGAGACATTTTAAATATTATTACTGTAGGGGCGCCTGGGTGGCTCAGTCAATTGAGCGTCCGACTTTGGCTCAGGTCATGATCTCTTGGTTTGTGAGTTCAAACCCCACATCAGGCTCACTGCTGTCAGCACAGACCTGCTTCCAGTCCTCTGTCCCACCCCCTTCTTCCCCCACTCTCAAAAATAAACATTAAAAAAAGAAAACTAAATAAATATTATTACTGCTCTATAGCTGCTAATTCAAACTCAGCTAACTACCATATAGTAAAAATTATCACTCTACCACCTTTCCGTTTCTCCAACGCTTTCCCACATTTCATCTCAGTGGAAGCTCACTCATCTTTGGTGGCACTTGTTAAACTCCTTCTCAACCAAAAGAGTAATAAACAAGACATGGTGAGGTTAAAGGATGGTGGCACGATACAAGGGAGAGTAAGGATCAAGACTAAAACTCAAGTATCCCGGTTTTCAAGTCTCGTGTTCTGTGTGCTTCACAGAGGGGCTATAAAATATTTTCAGGCATAATACTTGGGTACGTTTAGAAATGACTACAGGAAACTAATTTTAAGACATATTAATGACCTCACAGAGCTATACAGTGAAACACATTGGTCATTAAAACTGCAAAGCCCCCTTAGGGGCACCTAGGTGGCTCAGTTGGTTTAGTGTCTGACTTTGGCTCAGGTCATGATCTCGAGGTTTATGAGTTCAAGCCCTGTGTCAGGCTCTGCGCTGACAGCTCATAGCCTACAGCCTGCTTCAGATTTTGTCTCCATCTCTCTGTCCCTCCCCTCCTCGTTCTCTGTCTCTCTCTCAAATATATAAAAAAAAAAAAAAAAACACAAAAACAAACAAAACAAAACAAAACTGCAAAGCCCCCAAGATTTAAAAATTCTTGGTGGCCACTGATAGACCTACTATGTTAACCTCTGTTAGGTGGTTAATAACTGTTATTGCATTTAATCCTCACAGTAACACTGAATAATAATTACCATCTTATGGATGAGAACACGCTGGTTTAGAGAGATGGAGTAATCCATGTGGCTAGTCCCTTTGTGGCCGGTAAGGATTCCAAAGCTCACAGTCTTCATGCTACACCGAGAACCAAGAGCAGTGCACATTTCCACACGAAAGGAAATAGACTCAGTTCCCATCTAGCAGATAGTTTTCATTTTTTTAAGAGCTATTTTTATATCACTAAACTTCCATCCTCTTAAAAGGAAAAAAGAGATAACAATGGAGAAAACTGAACACAATGGAACTAGGGGGAAGGGTGCATTTCTCAGTAATAAACACTTTCTTAAAGCCACGCCCCAAGAGCGGCTGATTGTGCCAAGAAATGGAGTGCTCCCTGTCTTGCCTCCATTAATTATTGTCAAACTTCTAGTGTGGCATTGGTGTGTTCCCACAACAACATGTGCATTTCTGTTCTGTAGGTCATTTCTGATGGGGAAGTCTGAAATGCCATTAATGTGGAGACAAGGATCAATACCAGACCCATATGTGACTCAGAAACAAGCGGTGGTGGTGGTGGCAGCAGGGGTGGGGGGTGGGGGGTGGGGAGTGGGGGGGGTGGGGAGAAGGTTCCTCTGAGGAAATGCCTATTTTTATGGATCCTCCTGGAAATCATTTTAACAAGGTGGGCGCCTGGGTGGCTTAGCCGGTTAAGCATCCAACTCTTGATTTCAGCTCAGGTCAAGATCTCGTTGTTCATGATTTCGAGTCCCGCATCAGGCTCCGCGCTGGCAGTGTGGAGCATGCTTGGGATTCTCTGGTCTCCTCTCTCTCTGCCCCTCCCCCACTCATTCTTACCCTCTTTCTCTTTCTCTCTCTCTCTCTCTCCCCCTCCCTCCCTCCCTCTCTCAAAAATAAGTAAACTTTAAAAAATAAGCTTTCCTGCTCCTCCCACAACAAGGCCGATGTTCCTGTATTTTGCAGGCACTTTTCCTGTTTCCCTTCCCAAGGTCCCTTCTAGTCCCAAATCTTCAACCACAGCTCCATCCTACATTCACCCCAGACCCTTCTTTTTTCAGACTCCAAGTAAGGAGTAGAAATTATAGGGCTAAAGAACCACCTCTAGCATCTGACAACACAATTCTAATTGCTTATTAGAGCAACTTATCCAAGCTCTGCCTCTGAGAAGCGGTATGGCCTTGGGCAAATCTGCCTGAGTGGACCCAATGCCTTTAAAGAACAAAGGAGCTGGATGGTGTCCAGGCCACCACTCTGCCTCCACTGTCTGCCCGTCCTTGAGTTTGAATCTATTATACCCTGCAGGGCATCAGGATTTGCAGAACTACAGAATAATCACAATGGCAGCGTTTTTGTCAGAGTCTAGAGATAGAAAAGAGAAAACAAATGTTTCCTAGAGCTAATTTCGCCTCCTTGAATAAAAGAGGAAAACATAAGGGAGGGTTTCTGGCAGGGTGTTTGGGAGGCCCCCTGGGAGCTGGGCCATGCTGTTCCACCCTGGTAACCCCTACTTCCTCAGATACTTTCCATGGGTTTCCAAAGTCACCTTGAAGCCACCTGGAGCAACAGCTCTCCAAGGGTTGCAGTGTGACCAGAGAACCAGCCCTGGGAAGAGG